GAAGGTCTTAGTTTTAGTTTTTGTTTTCGGTAATAAACATGCTGATTAGAAATCTATAGTACCCGTTATAGAAACACGCATACGGAAATATCTTCCCCTCTGTGGAGACAGTTCACTGACTGTAATTGCAAAGCAAAGGGCTCCGTGCAAAGCGCAAGACTCGGGGCTGGTCCCCAAGTCCGGGGCAAGAAGGCTCGTGCATTCCCATTTACCCTTCCTCTTGATATCTCCATAACGTTCCCATTTTGTAATGTAACTTCAATAGAATTAAAATTATTTTATTAAAATAAAATTTAAATTTAAATTTAAATATTCAATAGAAATAAAATTAAAATTAAAAGTGAAACCACCCAGCAAATGGCTTTACAATGCTGAGTGCTAACTCTAAGAAAACAGAAAGAAAAATTTGAAATTTCCAAGGTCATGAATTGTTGTATTTGTCATCAAATTTGATTGCTACCTGACCCAAGCGTTGAGTCTATGGGCTTCAGTCCCACCACCTTCATCACCAGCAGAGGGCTGGGCCTCCCTCACTCAAAGGCGCTCATGTGAAATTTTACGGGTGAGTGTTTTTACTAAAACATCATAGGTTATAGACTCTGCCTTTCAATTTATATACTTCTATTACACTGAAGCTGGTTAGAGAACAGTAAGGTGATCAGACATCCACTGAAAGACCAAGAAACACACAAAAAGAATGGAAGGAAACTCACATTCTCTTTGGTGAGAGACTCTTTCCGTTATGATTCTATGGCTTTATGCTTCATAAGAATATGGCTAATTTGCAGCCTGATTATTATCTGTTCATAATCGAACACTGCATTGTATGCGAACCAAGTTAGCTGCCATTGGGAATAACATTTGAATTTAGCACAGAATCACCTGTAGTCCTTCCAGTGAACCCGAAACACTAAAGACAGACAGATTGATTTGGAGAATAAAAGTATAATCATCTTCTTACATCTAGTTTTACAATCCTATCTGCCACAAAACTTACACTTGTATCAACTTTGTGAACTGTTACTAGTACCAATAAAGTACCAATATTTTTTACTTTATCTATACAAAATCTACACCAGGACATATTTCCTCACTTTGGAGTTTTTCTTCTTATATATAAAATATCATGAGAATGGCTTTTTGTAGGTTTTTAGACAAAGATGTATATAAACCATTCATAAAATATTACCCCAATCGTATAAGGAAATAGAAATCAAATAGCGTGGGGCAATAATTGAAAAGTTTAGCTGTGATTATTTCTGAAATTGTGTTTCTTTCTTTATGCTTTAACTGCATTTTCCACCTCTTCTGAAATGCAAATGCCTCAGCCTCATCTTTGAAAACACAAATATTATTTTAATTTTTAAAGAGCCTTGGGTAAAACAGGATACGAATGCCCATGCTTTCAAAATAGCATAAAAGATAACGTGCATCTTGGAAATAATAAATTCAGGGATCTTTCCAGAAGTTCCACGAACTCAAGAATGCAGGCACCTTCTGGCACCACATAACCACAAACCGCTTAAAGAGAGGTTTTCTCTTTGCAGCACAATGAACTTCCTTTTTGTGATGAGCAACAAAGAATCTTTAACTGAATTCAATTTCAGGAACATAAAGCATCACTGACATAAAGTGAAACCAGCCAGTAAATGGCTTTACAACGTTGAGTGCTAACTCTAAGAAAACAGAAAGCCTATCACTGTATTTTTTTTTTCCACCACTCATATTTATTTTTTTTTAATTTTTTTTTCAATGTTTATTTATTTTTGGGACAGAGAGAGACAGAGCATGAACGGGGGAGGGGCAGAGAGAGAGGGAGACACAGAATCGGAAACAGGCTCCAGGCTCTGAGCCATCAGCCCAGAGCCTGACGCGGGGCTCGAAGTCACGGACCGCGAGATCGTGACCTGGCTGAAGTCGGACGCTTAACCGACTGCGCCACCCAGGCGCCCCTCCACCACTCATATTTAAACCATTACAAGTGTCCTAAATATGCACCTGCTCTCTAAACTTCTTTTGCTCTGTCAAGCCCTCCCAAGCAGGAAGCTGAGGGCTGGGTTATTTTTAAAGTGGTATAGCTGGCTCACACTCCCTCTCAAGCTTTCTGAGCCTAATCCCACCACCCAAGTTTCCTAGTAAAATTCCTATTCTCCTCGCTCAGCGATGTCGGCCTGAAGCGCACACGCGCACATATGCCGAAACCCGGAGACTTCCGCGGTCACCGTCCCGCTGCATGCTTACTGCGTGCCTGGTGCTGTGACAATCGCTTTTCATGGATTATTTTACTTAAGCCTGGCAACAGCTGACAGGGGTAGGAATGATTATATCGATTCTAAACATGAGAAAATTAGATTTCTAACGCTGGCTCCAAGATCACGCAGCTGAGCAAGTCCATTCTATGTCTTTCCTTCTTTCTTGACTTGTTTATCGAATGTCTCTGGCACCCAGGGTGCTGCTCTAGAACGGAAAATACAGCCCGTGTTCCTGGGGTCGCTTATCTGAAATTCAAATTCAACTGTGCCTCCTGGACTTGGACGTGCTGAAGTCTACTGGTCCTTTTGCTCCTGGTGACCACGACGTACCGTGCGCCAGGTTGACTCGGTGGCTAGTCTGATCCCGGCATGGCTGGGCTGGGATGTGGTGACAGGAGATGACAGCAGACGTTGAGGGACCCTGGGAAGGATACCTCTAGGGACAGGCATCCCTGGGGACGATTCCCAGGCGCTGTCTCCCACCAGGGCAGGACCACGAGCTAGCTCTTCCCAATGCCAATTTGCTCGGTGGCTCCTCACATCCAGGAGGAGAACCCGTGTCATTGGCCAAAAGCCAAACGCCTGCGATGCGTGTGCCCGTGTGCCGTGCCACCCCACTCATGCGGCACCAGAAACAGTGGAGACTCTTCCCCGTCTCCTTTGCCAAAGTTCTTCAGGGTCGAATGGAGCATCCGAGACCCAGCAGTACCGACGGAGGTATTTGTACCTGGTGCCGCCTGGCAGGCATCGCCTTCCCCTCTGGCTAAGGGCGAGGGTTAGCTGTGCCACTCTCTTGTGTCCTTGGAATAAATCTGCTTTGAACCCAACCCATCTTCCCCGGAGGGTCCTCCCGGATGCAGAGGAGGACATTTATGAACCAAATCCTCAGAGCAGATATGTTCCATCCACACATGTGTTTGAGCTTCTGCCAAAGGAGAAACTGTGCCACATTCTAGGGAAGGAAAGAGAAGACAGGCACATCCTCCACCATCCGGTAAGTCAGTATTTGGTCGTGTGCCGGGGGGGGGGGGGGGGGGGGGGGGGGGGGGGGGGTGACACCTGACAAAAAGTCACGTGGTAAGGGAAGAAATGAAGGCAGATGACAGGTGTGCTAACAGGACCACGCAGCGCAGGGGCTGGAGAGGACCCTGGAGCCAGATCTCCTCACGACGCATCTGAGTTCACCAAGTAAAGTTGGGGTGGGTGGGTAGCTGATGTTCCAGAAAAGCAAAGGAGTTTGTCACCAACTCCCCGGGGCAGGAAAGAGAACATTTTACAGTTGTGGGCAATTTAAATAACTCCACATGCCTGGACCACGAGAGAATGAAAAAGAGCGGAGTCCATGAGGGATATGGGACCACAAGGCAGAGGGTGTGTTGGGCAACACCCAAGGTGCCAGCATTTACCCAATGGGGACTACTGAAGGGGGGCCTTTTAAAAAGATGATGTTGGCCAGGGTATGAAGAAAGAGGACAAAACCTGGAGGCCAGAGAGCCAATTAAAAACCCTTGTGACATACGATCCAGGCTCCCAGTGAATACGCTTGATGGAAGTCAGCATCTGAAGTCCCCCATGGATTCCCAATGTGCTGAAGGAACTAAAAGTAGACCAAATAAGCCCAACCAATCCGTATTCACTGTCCGCTCAAAAATATCAAAAGGCATGCCGGTGACATGTTCAGTGCTAGGAACTAAGCCAATCTCCGTGTCCCCATGTAAAGTTATGCCCACACATCTCAATGTCTTCAAGGGCTGGGTGGTGCACAAGGTTGCCTTCAGATCTGAGAGCAAAAGGAACGGTTCTAGAAACGGTTCAGTGTTTATCTAGAGTATAAACCAGATTTAGCTTCACTCAGGTATACATGGAAACTGCACATCCTCTCTGTTGCTATGAAAGGTATGTTTTATAATCTAGTAAATCTGATACATCACTCCAGTGCCCAAAGTGGTTTCCTTGAGTTCCAGAGAGAGTCCAAATCTACCAATGGCTTCTTTTTTCAAAGTTAATATTTTTCCTAAGAGATAGGTATGTATAGGTATGTTTTAGAAATTACCCTCAAGATACGTGGGCAGGATAAATTATTTGAATGGAAGGATTCTGTCTGTTCTCTAAAGAAGCACCGGTAAATTTGAGGGAAACAACTCAAAGATCTGTTCTGATTGTGTTCTGGTAGCCTCGTCATCAGACTGCAACGTCGAATATTGACCTGGATCCAGGAGTTTGTGCACCTGAAGAGGGGAAATGTAACGGTTTCCTTGAATCCTCAATTGACTAGAAAATGGTCTAGTCAAGGTCACATTGGAATGGACATCCAAATCTCGACTCCAGAATTTTACTGAAGAATGTACCGACAAGTTACGAACATGGTTTCTGGAGTCAAAATGCCTGGGTCTGACATCTGGGTCCAGCTTTTATTAGACATCATAAATATGACCAGACTCAATCCCCTCATCTCTAACACAGGGACGTTGACAATACCTACCTCTCAGCTTTCACAGGAAAAAAAGTAGATGAATTCATGTGAGAACAGTTCCTGGCACACGGGGAGCACCCAATAAATGCTGCCATGCAAAGCAGTCATCATCTTATTATTAGTAGCATAGTCAACAGCCCCTTATGCCGTATTTCCTTCTTAGAAGAAGCGTTACTTAGCACTCGTGAGCTACAGCAGAGAAGCTCACGTGTAACTGCACAGATGGAAAACGAAATCCAAAATTATCTGCGGTGGCAAAACGTAAGATCTCTCACCTTGCTCCTACAACAAGTTCTTTCTGTCCTGGGTCAAATGTTAACTGCGAGAAATCCACAGCATTCTTCGCTCTGAACTCCCGTAACCAGGGGCCAATTTCTAAACAGGAGAAAATAAATAAATAAAAAGATAAAAATGAATGATCTTTCCTCCGGGGACCACAAAAGGTGCACATCAGGTAGCAAACATGACATTGCAGAGAAGCTTGGAGGGCCCCCTGACGCGATCGTTCAGGGGCCACTGGTGGTTCCCATCAGAATGTGACACGGTCCACACCGAGCTTGTGTAAAACAGAGACGGCAGCCACCCAATAAAGAGCGAGCATCAGCGCTTGGGTGTGATTTATAAGCCAGATGTGCATTTCCCTTTGGGCGCTGGGCTGGGCGGAAAACCACACAGCATTCACACGCTTCACCCAGGGAAAACTGAACGCAAACAGAAGCACTTCCTGGGTGTCCTCCCTGGCAAGAACTGAAGACTTGAGGAAATCGCAAAGCCCTCCTTCGGACCCAGGACAAACCCAGGCGCACCATCTGCCTTCCTTCAAAGTGGACGCTTCGTGTCCCTGCACTTTGGGTTTCCATCCTGGCCCCACGACCAGGCATGTTAAATACATTCAGCACTTTCTAGATGTGAAATCTAGTTACTTCTAGTTCTCATTGGCATTTTTTTTCCCTAAGGGAAATCAGGAAATAGCCACTCTTTAGAGACAGGTTTTTCACAAGACTGTTAAGTCCTATGACATGGCCTCCAGCCTAGAGTCTGATTATTGTAACACGACAGCTCGACAGCTCGGAAGAGGGACAGAATGCTGCTTCACGAGCCATTTTTGCAACTTTTGTGGGCACATTTCTGACACCAAAAAAAAAAAAAAAAAAAAAAAA